GACGTCCGTCGCAACATTGGCCCGAAGCAAGTTCAAGCAACGACCACCAGAGGCAAACTTTCCGACGGGTAGGGGTCTTGGTGGGCTAGGTTGGGTTGTAAAGTATTCGGTTTTTCGGGGGTCTAAACCCGGAACCCCCAACCAACCAGACGGCCCTTCCAAGCCTCGTCGTGTTTTCCTGAGGGACCATCCCCATCGCAACGGGAATGGTTATCTGGGCATAAGAAAACCGAAAGCTATATTTTTCTAGAAGGCGGAAGGGGATAGAAAATGTGTAAATTAGGATGGTTTCTGGGACACAGTCTATGTCATCTCCCATACCCACAGCACTCCCCGGACGTCACTGGCTATCAATCCCCCAGCAGTTCAATGCACGGGCACGAAAACAAACCCCCTAACTCCAAGCCCACGTATTCAAGACAGAAGAGCCCCCCCAACTTCCCTCAGCTTATTTCCGCACGGGAGCGACTAGCCACCAATACAAACTTTTCTTCAGATAGGAATCCCTACCCTAACGCTCCCCCCCATCCTACGATCTTGTGCCGCATCCCTGGGTTCTGGGATCTGCGAGTTCGGCCGTCAGGTGCTCGATAAGTCTCGTTCATCCCCGTGCTGTTAGTCCAGCAGGGGGGGCGCTTTGGCAAATTGTGCTCAGATATCATTCGGGGCTCGTTGGGGCTCCAGGAAGCGATAAACGGGATAAGGAGGAGTAAAAACAAGTGAAAAACGTGCTAAACACGTCTCCCCCTACTAATTGAATCTCCCCTATCATAATCTCTCACTCGACCGCAGTCAGGATCTGGGGGCACCCTCTGCATTACTCCCTGTTCTGTTCCTTTTTCCCGTTTTTACCCCTCCATGTATTTACTCGGTGCTTACCAAATGACTGCATGCTCCTTTTATCTCTTGCACACCTCTTGGGTCCCCAGGGGAAGAGGTTGTTTGTTTGTTCCTTTGGGTGTAGCAAAAAGGAGGTTTTGGTTTTGGTACGGTAAAGTGCAGTAGGCTACTAGCCCCGATTTTCGAGTGGGATTTTGTAGGCCCGGAACAAAAATCGGGAGAGACCCAGGTTCCCGATATTATTTCGATGCGTATATTCGAAACCGACCTTTGGGCTGCGATTCCTGAGGTTGGTTTAGCGATAACTTAGCCGGCGGTTTCACCCAGTCGGCCGGAGGTGATTATAATATAATAGCTACAGCCACTCGCCCCTCCCACACCTGCATTCTTTCAGCACTTGCGCAAACTTACCCTCATATGGAACTCTAATAAATTGGTCGAATGAACGCTACAGTATGCACGTAACTGTGCCACTGATCCCGCCGAAACTGTGCAGCATACTGGAAAGTGGAGATCTCAGAGCATGTCCGCAAAACCTGCTCGGCATGTAATTATTGAAGTTTAATCCCACGTCAAATGACCCCCGAAAAGCGCCGAGGGGATTTCCCCGATCTTGACGGGATGACTCGGAGGGGTTATCCCGGATTGTAACCATGCTTTAGACTACGGATTTCGAGATGCGCGAGATTCGGGGGTGGGGGGATATCGAAGATCCGCCCTGCTCGGTTAGGGCGGAAAGAATTGAGATTTTATGTCATGAGATGTTGGCTGCCCCCCAGGACCTAAATGAATTTTTCCAATTCTATACCGTACATTTGATGAAGTTGAGTGGTCAAAATGTGGGCTTGAAATAAAAGCTTGATGTCCAGAGGGATAAAGCCTTTGGTCGTTAGGTATGTTATAGATGTGCTGTGAGATTTGGAAACTAGTGGGAAAACCAATAGAAATCTGTTTACTATGCACCGGTACTGGCTTCCGGGTTGCTCGCTTCGTATGGGTAGAGGCTAGTCGACAGAATAGTGGAGGCGATTTTTCCCTTGTTTTCTCCAGATGTGGCATTGTCTAGAGGGGATCAACGGATAGTCTAAGTGAGAAGAACCGGGACAGTTTGATTGCCCACCAAATTGGGATTTTCTTCACTTGGACCTATGCTTTGCTGCTTCCTAGACTTTCTTCGGCACTCTACCGTTTAATCTACTTGTGCGGCAAATTACCCGGGTAGGGGCATTGGGGTCCGTTTGTATAGACGGCCGTCTAGCGCGGCTCGAGACGGCCCCGACCTTCAAAGAGGGCTTTACGGTTGGGCTGTATCACACGAGTACTGTACAGTACAGCATCGTACCGCTTTCTTGCGTGCGTTACCACTGACCGAGGAGGCTGCAGGTCGCTGCGCGATGGTCGATTTGGGGTGTGAAGATGATATCCGAAGAACAGCGGAGTCCGGGGACCCTGGACGTATCAACATTCCCAATCATGATTAGTGTCGGATATGATGCTTCGATAATTGCGCCGAAAATAAAGCGACCAACGAAAGGTCTTTGTGATTGGGAGAATTCTTCTCCCCAAGCTAAGTTGGGGCATCCTCTCCAATAAAACAATTGCTTTCAAACCTCCGCTGAGACAAATGAAAGGAAGAACATAACAGGATACCGGGAGGGGCAACCTCAATACCCTAGCGTGAGGTTCAGCTATTCCCGCTCTTATGGTAGACCGCAGTCTGTTGCTCACAGTAATTGATCTTGTGGAGAAATTGGTGATTGTCCAGTATTCGGGAATCAAGGGCAATAGCCGCCACTTTGGACTTGAATGAAGCAAGATTTCTGGAAGCTTTATCCAATCACACAAGTACTGGTATCATGTTGTATATTTTGTGGCGAGGGTAGCATATTATGAGACCTGGGTAGCCATTTGACTGGTTGGGTTCCGATTTTAAGGCCCACCACCCTAAGCTGTGGACCTGTGGACCAGCGGTTGCCATTTTGCCGCATAGCCGGACCTCGCTATAACGAATGCCAAGAATTCGGGATCTCCCGTTTGTTGCGTTGGTATCATACCTGTACAGTAGGGTACAATGCCGCTGATAAAATCAAACAGGAATGCTACTCCTACCGTCTTTGAAGCATCCAATTTCCTAGATTAGTATTTTCTCGATTTCCACCTGTTTCTGCAACAGATACAGGTGAGGTCCAAAAAGTGTATGAGCTCGTGCAATTCTACCGCAAAGCTAGAAGATTTCGCACCAAGATATTCCGCTAGGTGAAAATTTACAAAAATACGAACTAAACATAGAAGCACCGGGAAAAGTAATGAAATAATTTTCTACATACAAATTTCCACCCAATTCCTAACTCCACAAAAGTAGTATGCAGTTGAACTTTCAAATTCTGCCAAGATGCAGCTTTCCCACCAAAAAACGGCCATCCTTGTGCAAGTTTCAGGAAGGATTTGCTAAAGTACTTAGGGGCTGTTCGGCCTTGAGTAGTTTGCTTGTCCACTCGCAAAGCGGTTTGGGTCTGTGTGGAAAGTTGTACTAGTACTCTGGGATTAAGTTGCCGGTTCCTTGCGCATTGGGCCGGTTGCTTGGCGTGTCCGCTGCTCCCGGCCGCGTTTTTAATTGACGAATTGCCTGTGCGAAACAGCCCTTTACTCTTCAAGGAATTTAAATCCGATCAAGGTTACAATTGAAGTCGGGCAGACTGCATCTTTTCTAAATACTCTATGAAGTTGTCCCATTTTAATACGGGTATTGCTGCTGGAGCAGGCCCGTGGTGTTGGCTGTTTTTGGAGTGCCGGTAAACTACTCGTACGTTGTGCCCACCCCCCCTTCTGGGTCCCGCTGGTATTTGTATCCCCCGCCCACTAGATGGTTTCCTGTATGATATATACCAGTACGTCTATCCAAACTTATTGGAGTGTGGAAATTCTTCGTTTGGGACCTTCCCTAAATTAGTACTGTACTATATTTCACTCGGGTGTGTCTATATAAATTGGAAATACTGTAAAACGCTTACCTCTAGGGAATTGTATGGGATCAGTAGAAGTATCATAGCTTCCCGATTCTCACCGGCACCCTCGGGCACACCTTGGGAATGCGCTCAGGTGAGCGCGTAAAAAAAATAAAAATGGGGGGCCTTAAGACCAAGCCTCACGCGATGTGGCTGGATCAACTTCTTGTGGCAAGGGAAAGCGGCTCAGCGGATAACTTATCTGTTGTCGTTCCGCACTATGATATCTTGATTCCTGATAATTGCCCCATCCCAAGTCTCTTCTCTTCTCCCGGCAAACATTTTCCAAATCTGCCGATTCAGACCGACTCTACCGAGAGAATGGATTCAAGTAAGGCCTTCCTTGATTTCATATTTTCAGACAGTCCGAAGGACTTTAAAGCTGCGTACGCATCATTGTACTCCAAACCCTATCAGATCTTTGACATCCTCTTGAGGGAAGAGCGCTTCACAAATTTCTTCTCAAGAACGGGGGTTTATGGAAAGAATCTCGCCAACCTGTTAAGTCAATTTCCTACCTCCCAGAAAGATGATTACCGTCAATCGTTGTTGCGAGAAAATATTAAAGCCTTTACCCTCTCGTTGCTGGCTGAAAGGTTCGACGACCTGGAATCTAGGGGTGCAGCTGCAAGAATTGTCATCTCTGTGGTGAAATTATCAGATCCAGGCACTTTGAGGCAGTTTGGTACGAGATTAGGGGGTCTCCCGGAGATATTGGGGGTTATAATTGCGGAAGGGCACATAAAAAGTCTAGATAAAACTCACAAACATCGCATTGAAGATCTCGTCTCTGAGCCCCAAGCACGGAAACAGTGGGCTAAAGTTATTTCAGAACTCTGCAGCGGATGTGAGGTTCACGGTTTGGGGCATAGGGTAGCTAGTAGCGTGGAGTTGGCAAGCTTTATTCGCACTATTCCTTGTGGCTCCTGCCCTTCTAGTTCCGGGCTCGGTCGAGATACTGAGGGGGAACCTACCCGACGCCGGGACCACTCTTTCGGATCAAACATGCGGGCGAATGTATTTAGGTCGCTCTTGGGTGACCCTCTGGGGCCATGGAAGATAATTCTTTCCCAACAGGCCATGGAGAATCTGGGCGAAGCTAAAACTCAGGGTACTGTACCCGTCCCAGTCTAGCCGGAGGTTTTTGAAAATTGCTAATGTTGATTAGGTAACTTCGAGAAAATCCGACGCAAGTTCTCCGAGCTTGCCTCCGGAGACTGGGCTGGAAAGAAGATACTGCATCGGGCAAAGTGGAACAACTCACTGAGCTATCGAATTCCCTTATTCAAAGCTTTCTACACTACCGGGGCTTTTATATTATGGCAGATCGATACTGCTTTCGACGAAAGGTTTGGCGAAGATTACCAAGTTATAAAAGGTTTGATTTCCTGCAGAATTAGCCTCATAGGTAGGGGACTAACGATGGGTCTCTGGCATTTAGTATGGGCAGTTGGAAATCCCCACAATGTATGCATTAAGTCCCGGATTGATGGTAGACACGGCGACGCTAAGATCAAGCAGCTCGGTCCGATTGGCGTACAGATTCATAGAGCACAACAGGTCTATACGAAAACTCGGGTAGAAGCTTGCGGTAGAGACGATTTAGATGGGTCACGGGAGGTCCGGTATCCAGTGAGGGTGGGCTTAGACGGTGAGGAAAGCGGTGGCATGGATGTTGATGTCGCTGTTGTGGATTCCGATGATCTACCTCAACTAGGTAAAGTCTAAATAACCCCGCTCCAATTTTCCTTTGCACGGGGATTCTAATTCCGCGGTTAATAGCAAAGTTCTATAGTCTCACTACAACTGTGCTGGATAATATTGCTTCTACGACCGGAAAGGCAGCATACCCAGTAGACATATCACGGGAGGAGGCCAGTGTGGTGGATCACGGCCTATCCCCAGCATTCATCCTTGGGAGAAGCGGGACTGGAAAAACTACTTGTTTGGTTTATAAGCTAGCAGGGAGATATTTACTGTATAGTGCGGAGAGCGAAGCACGGTTGAGACAAGTACGTGACTGCAGGGTGACGGAGATGGGATTATTCTCTGAGGGTGTAATGTTGACTAAGCTACCAATTATAGGTCTTACTCACGAGGTCAAAGAGATTGGCGGGAAAGTTAAGAGTTAATGCCGGCGGATTGATCGAGGCGAAATTAGGCGAAAGGCCAAGGCTTGCCGATGGCAATTACGACAAAAAAGACGATTTTGATGACAATACAAAAAAGCAATTTCTATCACTCACGGATGAGGATTTCCCGCTAGTATGCACATTTGATTACCTGCTAAGACTTATTGAGAATAGTATTAGGTTTGTTGCTCCCTGGTTTAAGCTAATGCCATTTAGTAGGCGTACTGAGCCCCCCCCTAGAGTACAGGAAAAAGGACGGGGATACGTGAAGTTAGACAATTCGAAATCCATCCGTGTAATAGACTTCAAGAAATTCAAAATCGAGTACTGGAATAAACTATCCTCAGGACTAAAGAGAGGTATTCCGGCAGACTTAGCATTTCTTGAAATCATGGGAGTCATCAAGGGATCGGTTTCGCCAACCACGAACTTCGAGCCTTTATCTCGCGAAGAATATTTGGGAAAGCGCTTGAGGCTGGCCCCAAACTTTGTTTCGGAGCGGGAATGAGATGTTGTCTATGACTTATATGAATGGTATGACCGGGCTAAGAAGAAACGTGGGGATATCGATGAGGCGGACAGAGTCATCAATGTTGCAAAGGCTTTGGAGAAATTCAAGTCTTCAAAAGAGGACCCTTCAGAAGAGGACCGCAAAAATACTTTATTCGAAAAGAAAATTCGAAGTATGCTGGATGAAATCTACGTGGATGGTTCGCTTTTCCAGATCCCAAATACTGATTGCAGGGTGGTGCTAAAAACATGACAGAGATTCAGGATCAGCGAAACTCAGATATAGGAACCCTTTTAACCCTGGTAGGATCCCCTTTGGGTATCCATTTCGGTATGATCCCTTCTATCCTTTCCTCTTAGCGACCGGTTCTCATCGGCCAATAGCCGGCGATACGGCGCAGTGCATATCCAAAGATGCTCTTTTCAGGTTTGCAAATGCAAAATCTTTGTTTTATGAGCGCTTCATAGGTGGCACATGGGAGCCTGAAGAGATAAAGCCAATATTGCTTCCATTATCGCACAACTTTAGATCTCATAATCAGATTTTGAGCGTTGCATCCCTAGTGATGCACCTCTTATATATAGGTATGGCACACTATTTCCCAACGCACTTCACAACCCCTTATCATACTTACGAACCGACTCAGGCTTTCCGGATTTTGTGGATAAGTTAGCTCCTGAGATCGGTGATACCCCGGGCCCTAAACCTACTCTTTATGGTAACCCTCCCACCGAAGCAACTCTATGCAGCTAACTTTTGAAGTCGGGAGAAACCTAGTGGATATCCTGAAGCCCCAGGAGAAAATGGAGAACCCCCAAGAATCGGTTGGCCAGAGTGGCCAGTTTAGTGAATACGGAGAAGTGCGTGTTATTCTGGTGCGGGATGAAGAAACACGCGACAGACTTCGAACGGAGCTTGGGAGGTCTTCTTTGGTATTAACCATTCTCCAGAGTAAGGGAATGGAGTTTGAGGATGTCTTCCTCTTTGATTTCCTTAGCACAAGCCCGTACAGCCATAAATTCACAATCTTGGAAGAGCTATTCGAACAAAGGCATCTTACAGGTAAAATTTACCCCACAAAAAGTATTATTTTGGGGGGATTGTCTGTCTCATAAACTAACCCCTTTTAATTCTCCAAGATCCATCTCCAGAAGACCGTTTAGGACCAGCAGGATGGGAGGGCGAGGCCGGGAAGGGGAGCGAACACGAGCGGGGAGCAAGGCCGGAGCGCAGACACAACCCATCTGCGCACCCCGGCGGCCATGTGGGCTGGATAAAAGAAAATATCGTAAGTGGCTAATACATTTTGTTGTAAAAGAGATTCTAATAGCTTCACAGGTGCTTTGCTCAGAATTGAAGGTAGTTTTATAGTAGTCGCTGCTGGGCTTAGAATTAACCTATTCGCTAATCTTATGCGAGTCTAAAGCATCTATATGTCGGAGTGACAAGAGCTCGACACAGACTGTGGATACTGGAGAGCAACGCGAGTATCTTGGGTCCAGTGAAACGGCTATTCAATCTTACAGCGACCTCGCTACGACCACACCGATATCCCAGCCCGATTCTGGACATTTTAGCAGAACAAGATATAGGAGTATGTCCGGAACTTCTGCTGGACTATCCTCTCTGACATCCCTAGGTTTCGGAACTGCGTAAGCGGTTGCGCACAGGAACAACGTTCAGCGCCTCTCGGTGGAGAGAATTAGGGTATCAAATGATCGACGACCAACAATATCCCGAGGTTCGCTAACACATGCCACGCTCCCAAACAACAAGACTGATTATCTCTCTTTTAGGCTCTCCATTGTTTTGGCGAAGCCGAATATCACCATGGCATTACATTGGCCAATGCATACATTACTGAAGAAATTGCAGTCACCAAGAGAGCTCATGGGTTGTCTGAAGTGGCAAACGATCAATTCATAAAAGCATCAGAACTGTTTTTACAAACAGGTAGCACCGCAAAGGCAGTACAATGTCGGAAAGAAGGGGGTGATCCAAAAGGTGTAATCAGTGAGTGAATCCAAAGAGTTGATCTCATTATTAAAGGCTGAAATGGTACAGAAATTCTTGCCGACAATGGAGCATATGAAGATGCCGCCTGGCTTGCGGCAGATCTCGGTTTATTTTCTGAAGCAAGCGAAATATACACCAAACTTGGCAAGCACGAGAAAGCGCTCGCAGGATATGCTCGTAAGGAGCGATTTAGCTGGATGTTTAATTACATCAAAAAGTTTGTACCAGCTCTCCCCCCCCATTTAATTTTTTGGAAAGTAGCGCGTTCGCGGGATCAGCTAACCGCTGAAGACAGGTTTGAATCAGAAATTGAGCCCTCCTGCAGGAAACAGTATTTACAGTTGGGCTACTTAAAAGAATTTGGAGAGAGGGATACGATTTCCAGCCCGTTTGAAAAACGGGTTATTGATCTAATTGGATCCCGGGAAGAGCAGAAAATGGTTTTGTCAAGGTTTGGCCTAGTGAACAAACTCTTCGAATTTCTTAGTACTCGCGGTGAATACACGGAAGCCCACGAGGTTGGGGTTAGTTCTGGACTTCTGAAGAACTCCATCCAGTTGCTCTGCGATAAAATCTTACCCGGAGACCCAAATTGTGGGCAGGGGGCAGAGGTGAACTTGATGTGTATGTTTCTACAGGCAGAGCATATAGCAACCAATCCTTGGCCTAGAAACGGAGAACCCATACGGATTCACAAAATGTTACAGTCCGCAGTCGGGAAAGGGAGGCCACGGATCGATTTGTTTGTCAAGATGTGGAGAGATATTAACGGAGCGCTCGAGGGCTTTATCCGTCGCAAGATCGATGTAAAGATTGGAAGTCTGGGCGATGCGCACAGTGGTAGTTATGTGGATATTCTGGTCTGCTCCCTCGTGATCCTAGTGCCATTTCACCTCTAACTCCCCCCTAGATAGCGAAGAGTGCATACCCAGACATCAAATTCCAGCTTCCACTCGATCATATCGACCGTGTTCTCGGAGACTTGAGGATACTCTCATCATGTGAGAGGATCCCCTCTGCAATACAGCTCTATTGTGGGATTTACGAGATGCCCCGCCAGCCAGGAAAATACATCATCCTGGAGTGGTCTCCATTCAGCGCTGACTCTAAACTACAAAACCCACTTAGGCCGGTGGATATTGATTCTTCACTGAGAGACAGAATGTTAGGGTGTATTTTAGAGGATATCGTTCCTCCTCTTGTTTCTCTTGATAGAGGATTGCGAACAAAATGGAGTGCAAGAGCGAGGCCTCAAGTAGTGCCCTCATTGATACTAGGTAGGAACAATCTCCGACAACCCATCCAGATTTAGTATGATACTTTACTTACCTGAACGCAACTTAGCTGAAACCCATTTTAAAAAAGTAGAGGTAGGTTCCGTGGGTCGAAATTCTGCTCTCAGACAACTCACTGACAGCACATTAGTTTCTGGCGCGCCTTTGCCGAATATTTTCTGAGTCAGCCGCAATGATCAAGACCAACGGACGACACTTGCCGCGGAATTGTGAGATCCTCCAGTCTATTCCAACCGAAAATCTTTGTTTCTGATGCAGTACAGGGGACTGGAGATTTTGGAGAGGAGCTCTTCTGGAGCAAATGGGATTCAGATCTTCGTATGAGCAGAGCCTCGACGTTTTATTTAATATCAAGTCTGAGTTCGCGGATCGGGGGGGGAAATATCGCGTATTACATCCGGTTATTATCAAGGATGATACAACAGAGTATCTAGTAGAATCAGCTGCTAAATTGGGTGTGGGGGGCTGTGTGTCTTCACTTTTGGCTCAATACCAAACTTCTCTATTTCTAGGTAAGTAAAATCGCAGAATAAGTTATTCGCAGACAAGCAGAGATCTACTCTAACAAGAAACAGGCTATGAACGCCAGTGGAAGTCATTCCTCCAGGCATTTCGCGACCTAGTAATGAACAGGGGGAACCAAGGCCTCAAATATGGCTCGGAAATGATAACTTTAGTCAATTTGTTCTTGTTGGAGACCGAAGCCAGTGACTTCCCCGGGAGATTTGTATGTTTGGCTCATCCACCAGCCCGAAGGCCAATCTGCTAACTTTAACATAGTGCGAAAATATTTACGGGGTCCTGGGTGCCCTTGGGAGAGCAAAAAGGACACTAAACTTTTACTCTCCCTCGGTCATTTCTCTTTATGAGGAATTGACATTCTCTTTAGTAAGTAGGTGGTTTACATTCTGCCCTCGACACTGACAAGCGTAGATTTTCCTGATGCGTCCTTATGAATTTCTCATTCCCGATTCCTGGCACCGCTTGTACTTCAATAGATGGGGAGAAAAACCTCGGTCACCTTCGGTTTTCGAACGCTTCCGGTACCAGCAGTGTCTGGTCACAGTTTGTTCGAGCTTCTGCGAGGTTGTTATAGGCATCGAGGCAAGGGGTACCAAAGAGTTTGCCTTAGCCCGACGAAGCGTTACCCTAATTGTTGTATGCCTCATCAACCTGGGAACATTCTTTCCCCGACAACAGGAATATGCGGTATTGTGGCGGAAGTCACAACGGGTTTGCTTTTCCACTTAACAAGGACTCGGGCGTTGGGGTGTGCTTACTTTCTACTCAGGTTTTCCGTTGTAATAGGTTGAATGCTCGCAGTCTCCTGGGGCTACGGGCAGATAAGCTCACAGGACGTTTGACGAAGGTCTTCGAAGATCACAAAGGGAATGATTCAATCCGCCTTGTAACGGGACACCGAGAATTGGTCGACAAGTTTGCCGGGATTTCTTTGAATGAAAATGGGGTCTCAGTGGTCAGAATCTGCCCGATACGAGAGGAGGATAAACATATGTGGGCAATGAGTAAGGACCAACGCACGAGGCAACTCAACGCTGCGTATATTCTGACAGCTTTCTGGAAACTCAATGGGCCTAGATATGTGGAGAGGATGAAGGGGCGTAGGCAGCGCTACGCTGCTCGTATTCTGATGGCTTTTTGGAAACTGAACGGGCAGAAATTCTTGGCGAGGATGAACGAACAAAGAAGGCAGCTCAAAGCTGCACGTATTTTGACAAATTTTTGGAAACTAAATGGACCGGGATATGTGGAAAAGAGGAAGAGACGTAGGCGGCGCAACGCTGCATGGGTTTTGACGGCTTTCTTGAAACTGAATGGGTTGGGGTTTCTTGAGAAAATGAGGGAGCGTAGGAGGTACCTTGCCCCGAGGTACAGATATTCTAAAAATTGTTGTTTATTAGTAGATATGAGAGAGGGCAAAAATTGGACGTACTGACAGTGGATTTTTGTTTTTCCATTATTTTTACGGGCTACTGGATTTGGCTAGCAATGCGGAAAAAGGACTTCATGTTTTAATCTCTTGAGTCACAGAATTTAGGATTTTATTGGCTTATTTCACCGATAGGAAATACAACCTCAGGGAGTTGGGCTGAATGCGGGCGAAGGAATCTGGTCAACCCCAGAATTATTGAGATGACTTCTGTGCTACTTAGCATGATAAGAAGTTGTCACCTTGTTGATTCCGGGGTTGTTATCGCATCACCTTTGCGTTTCCCCATCTCCCTAGGAGGAAGCAACTATAGCTGTATCATACTGGCATCTACCTGAATATCGTGAGGCAAGCATACCCGCCCCTGACCCAGCCCCCCTCCTCGCGTAGTACAATACAACCCCACTCGTTCTGGAACATATTCCCAAAAAGTAAAGGAGTTCCCAATGCCCCGATCTAGTGTTGTCTGCAGAGAACCCGCCACAATCCGAATAAGCAATTCAGTCGACGCCAAACCCCGCCATCTAAAGCCGCTCAGGCTACCACTATGATATTATCATACAAACTTGCTCAGCCCCAAACATTCAGACCATCTCCCAGCGGGGGATACTAGAAATTGGCAGAAAGGTTTATCAGGGCACACCTCCGGAACCCCTCATCTAGGTCCTAAAATTACTTCTCCCTACAAATTTAATCCAGCGCTTGATACCAGTCTCTGAGCTAAGGCGCCGGGCGAACACCCAACACCCGGCCCGACAAGGAGAACTTCATGACCTAGTTTCGACAGCTGACTCTGCGCTAGGGCATCATGACCCCTAGACCTCAGCCCCTCCAGCACAACCCAAGGCAATGGTCATCAGAAGCCCCTAGAGTTGTGAAAAGCGGGAGAGAAAAAAGAAAAAAGAAAGATATACGATAGACACCGGTAGTCCCTAGATAAACCGGTGAAGGTCCAAGCTTCCCCAAAACATTTTTAGCAGGAAGGAGAGGATGCGATTTGCAGATCGGTTTTGAGATATTGATAGTACAGTGAGTAGTTTCAGGTCGTTGAGCATAGCTGGGGTGGTGTAGAGTAATGGCTTCGCTCTTTTTCTCTACCTCGGCTCGGAAGGCCGGGGAAGGGGCTCCACCGGCTTTGTGAGGGTACAATACGGGTACCGTAATGTGTTCGATGGATAATACAGGAAAAGTGGGCCATAGAAGAATATTATCAACTGTTGGGTGTGGATATGGTGTTAGGTATTATGAATCCCCTCTCCGGTGCAGATCAATATGACATGTGTATCTACTATCATAACTCTCCCCCTAGATCACACATCCTCCGGCCAACGAAACCCAAGCTCAGAAGGAAAAGAGGGTAAATTCTGCGAAAGAAGATGGCTGTCTCACACTTTCCGACAGGGTTTGTTTCGGGTTCTAGATGGGACAACCCCTACCCAGCAAGTATCACGTATCAAACCGACCAAACCGGCGGAGCAAGGATTTACAACTCTTCGTTTGGGATAAGCCTAATCGGTGGGATTTCCTGCTATCGGCAAGGTGGTACCGGCACTTTCATTACTTGACACTAACCTACCTTACATTATAGAGTAGTGATAAGAATAGTAGCGGGGGCTGAAACAGGAAAGTGGGGAGTCGCGATAGTAAATGCCAAGGGAAGCGGGGTGAAAGAAGGAGCGAGGGTGAGTGGGTAAGCGTAAGGTTAGTAATACGGAAGAGAATTGAGCACTTGCCTCGGTTTCAGTTTGCTTGTGTTCCAACATGCCTTGACAGTGGGAGAAGTGTCAAGCTTCGGGTTTGGTTAACTGAGGATGAAAGCATTTGTTTTTTCCGCCGGTTGAAAGACTTCAAACAGAAGAACGGGGCACGACACGAGGAAGAGCACAAGATCTTGGTGGATTCGGGGTAGGAATACAGCTCGGTTACGGTGGTTTTGAGTTGGGCCAACGTGTTTCGATGGATGAAGGAAGAGAAAAAGAGTACAGTACTCTTGTGATACGATGGCGATTTTTCATCGTGAGGTTCTTTATAAATACCTCTAAAAATCTGCAGTCTGCCTACCTCATCAGCGCCAGATCACAGGAAAGCTAGGTTCCTACTATCTTCTTTCTCAATTCCACTATACACTTGAAGTGTATTTCGCCGGGAGCGATATTTCTACTATAGCTCGACTAGCTCTGAGCATTTACCGGTTCTTCTTATACAATATTGCCTTCAACGGAGTTCATTCCCTCAATTCGCCTCACTTCGTCTGATCACAACCAAAATGCATATGCACTACTTCCTCGACATCGTCCTCTTCACTACTACCCTCACCACTCTTACCTCAGCCCATGGTGTGATCATTGAGGCAACCGGTGATGCCGGTGGCCAGGGAACCGCCCTCGCCGGTACACTACCTTCCAACCCACCTCTGATGCATGCCTGACACATCTCTAGTTGATGCCGCAACCCCTCGTGACGGCACCCGCCGCCGTCCCTTCCAGCAAGACACCACTGTCTTTGAAGAAGAAGATGACGACGAAGGAGCAGTGAGAACTGGCTGTGGCATGACACTCCAAGCAGGGGAGATCGATATCCCAACCGCCATGCAATCCGTAATCGCTCAAAACGGTGGCCTCCCGCAGGTCTCGCCTGGCGGGGAACTCACCATGACACTGCACCAAGTGAACGCGGACGGGGCTGGGCCTTATCAGTGTATGATCGACCAAACAGGCACTGGAGAATCTTTCACTCCCATGGTTGTTACACAGAACGTCCCTGGCGAGGAGGGGAGGGAGAGAGACGGCAGTGAGACCGCTTTCGTGAGTTTCCCCCCCTCGACACGGCTCTTGGAGAGATGGTGGTGGGCTAATGGTGGTTTGAATATAGCCACTTGTAGCACAGATGCCGGCGAATATGGAATGCACTGGAACCGCTGGTGCGATGGCGGGGATTTGTATGGTTCGGTGCCAAAATCCGGCTAATGCTGGGCCGTTTGGTGGATGTAGGAACACCTCTCCCCACCCGTGCATCCCAAGAAATCTGCTAAGACCAACAGGTGTCCCGGTACAACAAGCAGGAGCCGATGCCGCAGGGGGAGTTGGTGCCAGTGCTAGTGCCAGTGCCAGTGCTGGTACCGGTGCCGCCGCTGGTACTGCTACCGCGGCTAGCAGCACGCTCGCCAACACTGAGGCACCAAATACGGCCTCCGCCGGAAATGCTGCTGCTACCAACACTGCCGCTGCCGGTAATGTTAACGGTAATGGCAATGATAACGCCAATAATGCTAACGTTAATGGCAATGCTAACGCCAATAACGCCGGGGCAAATAACAATGTAGCGGGGGCCGGGGCAGGGGGGAACGCCCCTAACGGAAACAACGCGGGTAGAAATGATGCTCCGGGCGGTCCCCGTGGGCTCGGTCGGCAAGCCGCCAAGAGGTTCCGTGCTTAGATCTCCCCACCCGTGAGCATATCTCATAACCTCCACCATCCGGCGCACACGGAAAACCACTTTCTTCCTTAGACCCAGAAGGATATTCGCTATTTCTTTTATTATTTATTTTTCCTTGTGTTTACCTTTTCATGTATTTATTTTGTTCGGTCCTTACCTAAAATCCCACCCTCCTTCTATTCCCCCCATGCCTTTCTCTTGCCCGTTGAAAGCTCTTATCTACTCGAATGCAGCAAAAGGACGTTCATTGCGGCGTTGCACGGTGTACTACTTGTTTCCGGGTGGCGAGTGAGACTCCGTGAGTCAGAATAAATACACGAGACAGAACTCGGGTTTATGATGATAGCTGTTTTCGCTGGTGCGTGTTTCAAAACTGGGCTTTTGGGTTGTAGTTACTGAGTTCAAGGCATAGTATAGCAGAAGGTTTCGTTTAAAGTTTGTATGATATCATAGAAAAGTGATTGGGGGATGAGCCTTTAAACCCCACGATACCGTGCTCGCCCCATTGCCAGTGCTAAGACAAAAACTAGACTTTGGCCAAGCAACCGTTGAATCCACCCTTCAGGCTTTGTCACCAGCGGCCCTTATGGCCATAATCTTTGAAAAACTTCCTCAAACTTGTCAGTCTCCACAAGACCGACTGGGCAAAAGCAACCGAACTTCCTTTAGCTCAAGTGTTAAACTCTCAACCCCGAAGAGAATCAATCCGAGTGGCGCCAAGCTCTCTTTCATAGCATTTCAGCCCCTACCTTACTGTAATTCACAATAAGTTCCTAAAATTTGCCCCTCTTTTCCGATCTCTAGCCCAACGACCACCGTAAACGGTTTGAACAAAGAACATGCTATTGTAGCTGTGTAGCATCGCAAGACGAGCTATATAAAATTAAAATAAAAAAACCCAATGAAAAAAAGCAAAGGTCAGAGAATGGTTGAGTAAACCCAAAGACCAAAAAAAAACTAAGAACTAACGGCTTTACATTCACCGATAGGGACCCAATAAGCGAGATAAAGGGATGCGTCAGCATTTACGAGTGCTACTGATGGATATATTCGTCACGCGAAGCATAATAACCAAAGCGATGCGGTGCTTTTGCTTATCAAACTTCACGTGACAAATATATATATCAGCCGCACCCGTACACACGCTACACCTCCACTACAATTATTCCCTACCGCCAGAACCAGAAACAGTTGATATTTTGATGCTATATTTTACCCCTATTGGATAAGTTTACCTCCGGGATAGGTAATCCCATACGTCTTTTATGCGCCTTACATCCAATCATATTAAAACCCCCACCTTAGTTACCTAATCTACAATTTTCGGGTCAGCCTGACATACATACCGCAATTCATTTTCATCCAGAGCCACATCGACTTCATTGGGTGGCTGGTAGAGGGAGGTGTGATGTCGAGACCTCAGCTTGCTATCATAATGTTATGATAATACTTTATCAAGCCCCAACGCTTTCGGACTGCCTAAAAAGACCCTACTCGCTATTGACGAAAAGGGGTCACTGAGGGGTATTACTACCACGGGTGTGACTTAAGAGTGTAGTATCATAGTGGAATTCGGGGCGGTCTCTAGCCGAACCCAACCCAACCGCCAAGTAAAAAGTGTGGCCAACGCCAGAGTAGGGATTCTGCTAGTGCTCTCCACCCACGGGTTCGGGCAGGGCAAGGCCCGGAAACGTAGGAAGGTCCACTTTTCTCCCCTCTGTCCTTCCCGGCTACTCCCGCGAAACGCACATCCGGGAAATGATTTTCCAACTCGCGCAGTTACCCCATCAGATAAACAGGTAGCATAAGTAGCCTCCTCAAGTAGTCTTCGTTTAGTCCTTATTTCTTGGATATGGTATATATATGGTGGGAGAATCTCGTCACCACCAACCGCATCCATAATCTGAACCCTGGATATACCTAGCACCTACAATACCGCTATTAGCCTCTTACCCGTATGTACATATAGCCCACCGGATCTCACCCACACCGATATCCCAAAGCGCAAGACCACTCTCCCGGAAATGTTCATTCATGTCCACCGCCCTCTCCTCAAACCCCGGGAAGCAAGGGCCTGAGGGCAAAAGTCAAGGCCCAGGCGCAAACCGATACAATACCAGATATAAAAGAGAAACCTGGTTGATTACCAAAGACTCTGGAAGTAATGGCGGGGACTACGGCAGTGAAACCAATAACGTGTCCATACACGATATTGAGGCCCAAGTGAAGTGCCGTACATCCCGAGTTCCGGAAAACATGGGGGAATTTCTCACCAGGAGTCAAGAATATTGGGGCAGGCTTTTCATCCGACTTCTCCACTCCGGAGAGATGCCAGCTCTGTTTAGCGGAATAGCTCCCCAGGTGGCCAACCCTTACCCTACACAAAATATACAGTAGTAGAAGCGCTCTTGAAACGAGATCGGATGCAAAGTATGGGGAAAGCAGGAGGGTATTTGACAGGTTTTTCTCAGAGCAGCCGGGGATGCCTAAGAGGGGGGACAATACCGAAAGGACTAAAAGGAAATTGTGGGGAATACTACGGTACTTGCCTGGTTCTTCTAGCCATGCCCAAGCCATGCTCCGCCCTTCAAGAAAAGTGAGGACGAATATGCAAAGTAGGGGGTCGGTCGAAACCTTGGGCTCGCTTCTGGGCTATGACCCTAAATGCTAACCCTATGCTAACATCTAACGTGCCCCGGACACCCAGAAACAGCTCGGCTTGGCCTCCCGACGGCACTCACAAGTCCACTCCCCTACCTATCCGTCGCGCGCCGGGTGAGAATTCATGAATGCTTCACAACAACGCTCTTTAAACAATCATGAGCTGGATTCTACCTCTTTCACAAATCATACTCCTAGTTTAGGTCAACGAATTATTCCCCGACATTTCCACGCCGCAATATTGGGCCTCATACATGAATCCAGGGGACCAAGGTAAAGAAGTTCACCCCCGCGTTTTTGGCTTTCTAGGAGAACTCCCTACTATCCCAACAGTAGTCTCCACAGCCATCCCATAACCCACACAGTAGCTATGATACCATAGCCTAGGCTTTGTCTACAATGCCACCTTTATCCCTAATCCCCCACTGCCCCCTTCCCTATCCCTTGTTAGGGTCTTTCGGCTCGAAGCATCTGCATCTCACAAAAATTCATAACCCCCCCGCTGAGAAAAAAAACACGATCGGAGACTCTCAACTCTATCCCACACCACACCTGCCAACCGGGTAAGCCGAGGGATAAGTTCTAGCTACGATCACGGCATTGCGAAGCGGATATTTCACTAGTTGAGAGAATGTGGAGGGAGCTACACACAAGGCGAGAGGTGGTGAGATTTTGGCTGGCTGTTCAATTTGCAGAGGGATAAGTTGGAAGGCATGGGTATATATATACTACCGAAATCCACACTTTGGCAGGGGAATCGGGATTTGTTGAAGATTCTAGAAGGGCTATGTGAGGATTGCGGGAGAAGTTGTGGGATGGAGGATTCTATGGCGATTATACCTAGCAGAGGATGTTGCAAGAACCGGGACGACTTAACTGGTCGTCCAGGTGACAATCTACACTGGGCGTAGGCTTTTGAAGAAACACTTCGGCACCCTGTGGAGCGTGGCACGGTACAGCTCCCAAAGAGAAACAAGCATCCCCGGGAATTCCAGGGGTGCAGAGTTTGGAGAGGATGTATCCACACAAAGATGCGGCCAAGATTCTTCTGACCAGCACCGCAAAGCAGCCGTCGTAACAGGTCCACGCAGCCTTCCACGGTCACTACTGGCGTGCACTCGGAACACCCACATCACAGGCACAGTACAGGAGCGGCAAAGTAACTCCCTTCCCCTTCTTTTCGTCAAAGATATTTCATATCCCGGGGTGGGATACGCTGTTCTCCTCTGGACTGCGACTTCTCGCTCCCCGCCTTACCTCCGTCGTGACGTACAGTGCGGAAAAGAAAGCCCGATCGAGGTCCGTGAAATACTAACCCTAATAGTTTCTTTCCCCCGGCAGGAGTCGAGCTGTACCGGAGCTATTCGTTGTACTGTATCATACGCGTTGCTGTAGGTACTCGAGCATACCGGTATATTGTCCCACAGTGAAATGGGGTTTTTAGGATAGCAATGAGTTCCGGCTCGGGAAGGTGTGTTTCTCTGTGTTCGGTAGCGGGGGTGGCTCAAGGCGTCCAAGTATCATAATGCGCTCGAACACTGTACTAGTACCAGTACAGTACCAAAGTAATCCGCCATATGTGGATTTGGGGCTACCTCACCACCGCAGGATCACATTGCGATAGAGGATGACACAACCCCGCACCCCGTGGTTGTTCTACGAGTACAGTACAAGTATCTCTACCAAAAATGCCGGTGCTCTCGCCAAGATATCGTGAGGAAGGGGACGGACTCTGGGGTACCGGTAGTCCATTGCCATTCGTATAATAACCATGTCATGTAGTCCATTTGCTATAGACTTTGCGGGGTTCTTCGGTCAATCCTTGTATATACGGGGCCCAGTTGATCACAGGAGTCAAGGGGGGGCAAGAGATGAAAGCCAAGGACAAATAAGAACGCCTGGTGGAGCTGTCCTTTGATACAGCTTCTCTGCTTTCTTCCCCTTACCGCTATCGTCTTTGGACACGAATATGCAAGGTGGAGATCCATCCAAGAACCAGGTTATCCGTCTCGGTGCTATGATTCCCTCTTTCCCGAAAAACATCGCTATCGTTCAAGTGCCGTACCTCTACCTTCTTTCTTTAGGTCTATTAAAACCGCCGGGTACCGATGGCGACACAGGAATGCTACTCCTACCAAAACCAACGAAAGAACGCCCAGGAGGACGTCCCTCCGACACGGGAGCATTCCCCGCATTTCCCACGTTCCCCCTAACAAGCATAACCTCCCCCCGGCAGCCTAACAAGGCAAACACAAGAAATCATCCACAATTCACGCCTAACCTGTCATATTACACTTCCTAATACGATAACGATCCAAGCATTACACTACATTACATTAATCATGACCCAATCCTTCGTGTGATCGCCAAACTAATGATGGTGTCTGGCAAGATCCCTGCCCCTCAATCTCACCGTTTCTCCGGGTTGAGGCTTGACGTTATCCTTAACCCAGGAAGTATTTCCCCTAAGCCTTTCGGTAACTGGATCAAGCTCCAGGCCGAGTTGCTCAGCGACAAATTCCGCAACTTCAGTGTTTTCACGCTGACCCGCAAAGTCCTTGTGGTTCACCCCATACCCATAGAGGGTAACGTCGACGGCAGAATGCCCCAGGGTAGACCAGTGAACACCGAGTCTCTCGCTGAAAGCCCGACCGAGGAAAACTCCAAATTCAGAAGTGGTGTTTCTGAGAGCGATTGCGCGGGAAATTTCGTCGTTGGTGGGTGACATGATGCCGTATGGTTTAAAGATGCTCTCACGGGCATAGCGAGCGAGGTCAGTAGTCGTAGCAGCCTTCCAGGTCCGGGAAAGCTTCTCCGTAGAGCTCTTAGAGCCGGCAAAATATCCAGGCGCGAACCAGTACTCGGGAGCGCCGTCAAGCACGTAGCCCAGCGTCAAACCACCGCATTCATGGTCGGCAGTCGAGATGAGAACGGTGGGAGAATCATCGTGTTCATCAATCCATTCGCGCATAGCATCCATCGCACGGTTGTACTCGAGAATGTCGTGGAGATGGCCGGTGGGGTCATTTGCGTGGCCGGCGTGATCCTACCAAACGTCAACTATGAATGCCGGAAAATCCTCAGCACCACATACAATCCGGGAAGCCTCAACCATAACAAAGAAGCCCTCCTTGGACTTCTTGGTAGCCTTGTACAAATCATTCAATCCCTTGATAGCCATCTCGGTTAATGAAGGCTCCTTCTGCGGGTCGCGGTCGACTTCGTAGGACATGTGATCTTGCATCGTATTAGTCGCTGCACAGGATTCAGAGAAGGGCAATACCTTGAGTAAATAATCCAAGGTAAGGCAGCTTAACATCCTTGTCGAAGGCGACCTTATCCTCGAAAACGGTGTATCCGAGGGTCCTAGCAATAGCGAGGGCATCGACATTATCCTTTCTGCACGAGGAAGCTGTTTTCTGAGGGGTGAAATAGCATTTTCCGCCGCCCATCAAGATATCGACAGTTCTCCCGAGCGGATGAGAGTACCCAATTTCCTGCAAAGCAATGTTTGCTTCCTTGTTGCGATCATAAATGTGAGCTACATAGGATGCCGGGGTAGCCTAGGGCGGTGCGTATCAGCATTAAAAGAGGACCCTATATCACACTAATGGATGGACACACATGAGTGATTCTGCTAGTAACAATGAGCCCAGTCGTGAACCCCTTGAGCTTTGCAGCTTCCAAAACGGTTCCACAGGGCTCCTGATCACTATCGACGGCTATTCCCTACCAAAGTTAGCGACCCACTAAAAGCACCCAAGGCGATCGAAGAAAATACCCCATTGAAAGTCTTGATGCCGCACGAGTACGCTGTCGCAGAACTGGCCGAGTCGGTTACATACGAATCACTAGAGCGAGTGCGAACTTGACCAATCATCATCTCGTCGATTGGCAATCCCTTGGTGGAATTGTCCCCCCAGTGAATCCAATCACGAGCCATGGTCTCCGAAGCGGGGCCGAATCCATCACTAGAGGCTAGTAAGACTACCACCCTATGTTGGAAACTATTCAATCGAAAAACTCACGGGATAACCTATAGAGCCTTATCAGCATACACGACAGGACCCAACAAAAGATTCGCATACCATAATAAAATTCCGAGCCTTCTTGCGACTCGTACCCCTGTCTGCCTCAGCGATTGAGGCGAAACCGGCGAGGGCAATCAAGAACAAGTTCTTGGTGTTCATTTTCTGAGCTCAAAACCAACGAAGAATGGGGATACGATGTGTAAAGAAAGGGAGAGGGCCAAAGGGATGAGGACGGAGTGAAAAGAACAGAATCGCAGGGGAGGAAGTGGAATCGTTTAAACGGGTATGATAGCTATCCGACAGGGACACATGCATAGGGTAACGATATCAAATGAATAGCTGAAAATAAAAATAAAAATCGGGGTCCACCGCCGCCCGTAGCACGGTGGCTCCCGAAGTAAATGGCCAACTACATTGATGGGGAGCTAGAGGCCGCAAAGTGCGACAGGCTAAATACAACTTCCCGCTTCGGACAATATGTGAGAGAGTTGGGGAACAAAAATCACCGCTACCTTCCTCACCTATGGAAAGCCAGGAACGATACCGCAGTCTCGCAGGAAGGACAGCTGAGGCTATTTACCCACCACACCCAGCCCGAGAAGAGAGTCAATTCCCATCGCCTATATTCGTGCCAAACATCAAGAACACGAAATCCTCCTCTTGCACCCTCATAAAAACTTCCGGCAAAACAAGGCCCCACCTAATCTCCGCATCCCACAAACCGAACCTAGCAAAAAAAAAAAAACAGAACTCTGCTCAAGCTAAAGTCAAAACAACCTTCTTAGCTCCTCCAGGAACAATTGACCGGCCATGCTCAATCGGAACGTGTCTCCGCGCTCGCGAATGATTGGTGAAAAGTTCCGTCGCACAACCGATTTGCGGGCAAGTCTCCAATAGCCTTCGGACATGGGATGGCGCCGACCGTATTCAGGGCAAGGTGAGAGTACCAGCAACGGTACTCGTGCTGGGTTCCTGCAGGTTCACCAACAGTTAAGTCTAGTGGGTCCTCTCGCACGTGTAGACGGTAGTGGGTCTCGTTAGGCGTCTGGCCCGCTGTGGAATCTTAGGTGAGCCTAGGTATCGCACATTACTGAACGGTCCCGCACCCGAGTACAGTTACGGTAGGTGGGAGCTGTGCGTGATACAAGCATCGCGTAGGCAAATCTGGTATCGGGCAGGGTTTGTATGATAGCGAGAGCTGCCTAGATTGAGATCTCGTCAGTAAAAGGGCGGTTGATAAAGTGTATTGTGAGATACACGTGCAAGAACTGCACTCGAGTACACTCCGGGGATATCCTCCCCACTTCTCACGAGTGACCTCCCCAAAGCGTACCGTAGCATGCCGAGCGTGCACATGCCGGGAGAGGGTTGATTGAAGAGGACGAGGCGGGTCGGGGGGGGGGGTGGGGGATCGATTGCTCAATCCATCCCTCGCCCCCGGTAACTTAGGGCCCGACGTACAATACACTGTGGAGCAGTAGAATGGAGCACGGTACAATCTCCCAAGGTGCCAAATTGAATGCATCGCTTTGTCGCATCAACTGACTGCCCTGAGCTGCGGTGTTTCCAGAGGATCAAATCTCAAACGGCACGCGAGTGCCTTGGGAGTGCCTTGTGAGTGCCTCGGACTGCCCGGAATGCTCCTTCGGGCTTGCAGATTGGGGTAGTTACGCCGCAAAACAAACACCAATAATAAGCAATATGTGTAAAAAGTCTGTGAACTAAATACCGGTACTACCGTTCCAGAAGGCCAACACAAACCAGCAGGGCTGGGGAAAGATGAATAAAAAAGGTTCCACTGTGGCCCGGACAAACGCTGTACTATACCGGGTACGAGTACAATCCATTGACATCATAGAACGAAATAATACTCGAGTATGATACAAGTACCAACCCACGGTCACTTACAAAGCCTCCCCACTGAGGCGCTTCTTGGCACCATAATCCAACAAACATCCCGAAGAACCTTACCCGGCCAGCTTTAAGCACGGCCTGACACCGGAAGGTGTCTCACCAAAAACGAATCTTCTCTCCAGCCTTGCGAAACTTGTCAAGCCTTTTCTACACTCAGCGGTAGTGGGAATGGATACGGTAGTCACTTCTCACATATCGCACAACACCCCACCCCCAGCCCCAGGAGGGACACTTGGGGCTCCATATGAGGGCTCTGTAAGTACTGTGCATTGTGGGCCCGTCTTCTGCTTGGGTGGTCCGCACCCACAAACAATCCCCAATAGGGTTCTGAGTTCGGGAGCGTGGTAGGGCTTTTGGAGAGGGGTGGGATTTTGGCCACTTGGGCCTCTTGGGCCGGAACATTGTGACGGAACATCTGGGGCCAGAGCCGGAGCTTAGCTGCCCGTTAGACCTCCGGGGGAAAATGTCAAAAAACCAAGCTAACCAAGCTAGCCAACGGGATCTAGGAATCCCAAGATCAAGAAGCTAGATAGCAAATATCTTGAGGATACTCGAGCAGACCATCGGCCCGGAACCCAGCGGCAAAAACGCCAAACACCAAGAACCCGCTGCGCTTGCACACATACCGTAGCACCGCGGCAGGCCAAACCCCTCCTATACTCGAGTAACCATGCCCGCTTCCACACGTGTTCCGTTACCGCACCTGCAATCCGGGCACGCGTGCTGTGCTCTCCCCCCTATAAGTTACAAGTAAGTCCCTGGTCCGGCGGTGACCCCATCTACACACGCCCTCCGGACCGGCATTCCCTGGAAGAATGGCATATCGTACGATATGGCTCTAGGAGCCACCGACAAGCAGACGAACAGCCAGTGGTGTAACTTAAAGCTCAAATGAGGAACTATACTGTTCGATAGGTAGAAAGACGGTGCGGGAGTACTATGCTCTAGGCATCCCCTCAGAGGGGTCACCAAACGCACTACAGTATACAGAGCAACACAGCGCAAAAGCGAAACCCCCGACCGAACATCCGGCCTATTACAGGTGCGATGCTAATACTAGTGGATTGCAAGAGAATGGAGATAAACAAAGTTGGCCGGTATAAGTTAAGAAGCACCAGGAAAGGTACCGTAACACAAATGATTGCCTGTGGCGGCCGCTACTACAAGTACTCGAGTACACAGTTGAAAGCCATCCCCTGACATGTTTTCGAATTGTCGCCCACGAGTAGTCAGGACAACTATCATAGAGCAACATTAAAAATTTGTTTTGGCTTGGCACTGATCAGATTATCCCTGAAATGCGTCATTTTCTAGGCTAGATTGAAATCCGGAACACTAACTTCGTATCTCTTGGTCGGTCCGAACAATCGAGTTCGTCGCTGGGGACGATTGGCTAGCTACGGTAGCTGAACTTGGCCAGTAAGCCTGATTTTCCGCCTTTCCAGTTCTTAAATGACTCAGCACTCCTGGCGAGTTTGAATATTCTCAGCAAATCACAGGGCTCGGTTGGTTCTTGGATAGGCTTAGCGTCCATGGCTACGGATTTGGCGGGTTGAAAGGATCGCGGTGGCGGAAAAACGGTTGTAACTTGGGAAAGCAGTATTATAGTGCTTGGAGGACCACAATACGATGTACAGTATTACCGCTGGCTAGCCTTCCAAACCGCAGGCTAGACTAGAAAGGTTGCTAATGGGTTTAAAGAATTGGATTTTGAATACCGGTAGAGGTGCGCCAGACGGGAATGGTTCACTGTTGTGGGCGGTGGCAAAACCGGGGCTAATTGCTTATTCCCCACACTTCCGGTAAATAATGTGAACTTCGGGAACAAATTAAAGGCCATCATGACGGGGCACCCAAGGCGTGCGGCAGGTGTTATGGAAAGCCACTGACCGAATACCGCAATCGTGTCAGATCTCGGCCACTCCTAGCCACCCATGTCCCCGCAGTGCCTAACTTACTGTACTCGAGTACTTACGATACTCGAGCAGCTGCATACAAAAAAACCGTGCGCAATCTTAACCTCCTCGGTATGTTGCTGCCATACTGTGCGCGCACTCTCTACCCGCCCGGAACCACACTCCCGGCACCATAAAAACAGGGATAGGTTAATCGGGAATGGCGCGAGGACGCCCGAATTGAGGGAATAAAAATACGAAGGAGATCCCCTTTCAGCCCTCGGTTGAGGCGGCCTAGTCGGATAAAAAAGAAAAATGCGATAGACCTTACCGGGAGAGGCAACTCCAACGTCCTGATCGCATTCTCAATTGCGGTATTACAGCTTTTAAGGCGACCACTATTATCACAGTCTAACCACGTCAAATCACGTCCATTCTATATCATGCTCAAAGAGTATAGCCATCAATAGCGCTATCATTGTAATAGCGGACCGCGCGATACCGACCGGAATGACATCCCTCCGTGACCGCGCGAAAATCTGGTGCCTTCGTAAAATATTATGGGCGACAGAATGCGTGTACCGAACTGCGCATGGCGGAATACCCCACGGTATACCCAATATACACAACCTACTCCTTCCAGTCGTAATGGTGGCTGACGTGTTTCTAATTCTCCATGTATAGCCTCGGCTGCTGGCATCTTCCTTGAAAATAAATGACAATGAATTGGCATCACATCGCATTGTAGGATATCACGCCCCACCCCCCGTATGGATTCATGAAACCCGCACTGAGCGGATGTGGTGGTGAGATGGATGGAACTTCGTCGTTTCCCACGGGTGTGAGCGAGCTGTCTAAATACAGAAGCAGACACAGTGTGAGATCGCAACCTCCCCTAACTCTTAGGTCTACAAACCCTCCATATCACCGTCCTCTATCTCCACAATACTATCAGGGCTGCTGCCCGTATAAACACAACAACACACAACAATCCGGAGCTCAGAATAGATCCCTGGGACACTGGCTGCTTATTCCAATAAAGGTTGGGGCCTCCCAAATTTCAAGATGGCGATCGAGGCAGTACTGTACAACGAATCCACACGCAAGAAAAATCTGCGCCTTGGTATATACAATAATTTTTCCCAAGATGTGTCTATTCACTACTGGCTTGTCAGTTCTTTATCCCACGCATCGCGAACGCAGGATAGGCGTGGATGAAATGCTAACCTGCCCTTTGTTCAGCATTCTTATGCTGGTTCATCATAATATTCCTATATTTTTCAAGCCCGAAAAGAGGGGAGGGAAGATGTATTTGGAGCACAAAGGCTAGTCCCCTATATCCCAGCACAGGCATATGCAAAAGTTTTCTATATACCCGCCCCAGATCCCTGGCAGAGCTCTACGTTGAAGGGTGTGTAGACACTGGGAACTTCTCGGAAACAATACGGTAATCGCATGGCCTCCATTAAATCAATTGTTAAAAGAGTTGATATGTATATGGAATTGGGATCGGAAGTGTGTGGACTTGGAGCTATTGTGGGCAGCCTGATGTCGCTTGCGTCCTAGATGGAATGTGTGTATTGAGGATGACGTCCTCAATAAAGCGCTGGCCTGGCTTGTCTGAGGAATGACGATTTCCTTTTACCTTCTTCCAATACTTCGATTCTGTCTTATACAATTTGTCTTTCCTTTCCGAATACGATAAGAACATCATCGCTTTCATCTCATCAAGTCCAGCCATCATGACGTAGACTTCAACATCAATAACTACCGATATATTCACATGCTGTTTCGTCCCACGGCATTTGTGTGGTACTGTACGACCCCAGTTTCTATCTCTGACCTCTTGTACGGCTGGTGGATCGGAAAGGGTTCCCCCAGGATGCCTCCCCTGGGCTACCGCTAGCTCAATTAGGGGCAATAGAGTGTTTAGCCCCAAAGCATCTCTGGACAACCACAGGCCCCAGCTCCCTTCCCCCATGACTCGCTTTTGGCTGGCGGGGATAATAGCCGGTCCCCCTCCTACCGGTATTTCGCTGTCGCTCATAGTCGGTGGAAGCAAGTGTGATGCGGAAGCAAGTGTGATGCGGAAGCAAGTGTGACGCTCCATAAAAAATACGAGTTTCTTTTTTTAAGCCTATTCAATTCTAATAGGTTTCCATACTACCAGTTATTAACCATATATCTGTATTTACATACAAGATATAAAGTGAATAATAAACCTACTATAGGTAGCTATTAAATTTAAGTATGTTAAAAAAAACAAAGAATAGAATTTTTTATGGTGCGTCACACTTGCTTCCACCGACTATGAGCAACAGCGAAATAGGAGGGGACCCGGCTATTAGAGAGACTTCATGAGACTCAATGGCTTTACGGCCAAAAAACCCCGTTTCCGGGACACACGCATCCCGAGGAAACCGGGGCAGATCCAAAAAGTATTCCGAGTGATCCACCATGGCTCCGGGGCAACGGCTTGCGCTTCGGGAAGGTGAAAAGGCGACTCCGGAGGGAGCCACAAGTAGATAAAAAAGGGGACCTGGGTGCCTTGAAGTTTTCTTAAGAATGCTGCTAAGTTTAGCGATAAATAATCTTCCCCAATTCTAGAACCCGTCCTCCGGCGAGTGTTATGGTGGGGTTCCAGACCAAGCCTCAGTGTACAGAGGGCGAACTCCGATTTTCTTCCCCGAGTGCTGGATCCCATAGAAGAGATACGGTTCAAGGCGCTTTTTCCCGGTCGAGATGAATCACGAACAATATAGCATGGGACCGTATTGTTCATCGCCTGAAAAGTTGGATGGCCACCTACGGTACAGTACCAGCGCCGTATCAATGCAGTTCATGCGAGGAACTACGGTATGGCCACATCTAAAAAGGTACTCGCAGGAGACAGGAAATACGGTACAGTACCGGTATCCGGAAGCAGGGGTTGTGAATTTGTATGGGAGCTCGGATGCTCACGGAGTTTCGGCCATACTTCGCTGATCCCTGTTAGATGGACAGGTACAGGTGCAGTGAGACATTTACCCTTGTGGCCAAGACGGCCCACATGATAATGCCGGCCACGCCACTCCCCGAATATTAAGTACCGGTACTCGAGTACCGCATTCTCCGAGTATTTATCAGATGACCAACCGCACCTTCCGCTTCGCTCAAATGCTCAGAAAAAACAGTTCCCTGCAATGTTTCTCTCGCTGCTTCTCCTTTCAATACTATCCCCCGCCATTCTAGCCCTCGGTCTTGACCTTTTGACGGCCACCGCCGAAGAACTCTCGTATCGCCTTAGTGCTAACCAAATATCCAGCGTTAGGCTAGTAGAAGCATATCTAGCACGGATCGAAGCGCATAACCACCATGGTTTGAATTTACGAGCTGTTATCGATGTCGCCCCGAGAAGGCTGTTACTTGACCAAGCAGCCCTGCTGGACCATGAGAGAAGAATTGGAAGGCTGAGAAGCCGATTACATGGGGTCCCGATACTGGTGAAGGATAGCATCGCGACCCACCCGAGCCTAGGTATGCAAACAACCGCTGGATCCTTTGCTCTGGAAGGCACGATCGTTCCCGATGATGCTGGGGTCGTTGCGAGGGTAAGTCTGGAGAGCTCGCGTGAATTTTCTCGCTGAAAACTCTAACCACCGCAAAGCTTCGAAAAGCAGGTGTGATAATTATCGGTAAAAGTAATATGTCGGTCAGTACTTGTATCACTCACTCATTTCTCCTTAGCGCCCCGCTTACCTTTGACAGGAATGGGCCAACTTCCGGGCATCCTTTGGCAAAATACCATCGGGGTGGTCAGCCCGTGGAGGTCAAACACGTTCCGCCTATGTCACCGACCCGCTCTCACCAGATTGGAATCCTTCCGGCTCTTCGTCAGGTTCAGCTGTTGGCGTCTCGGCCGGATTTTCTCCGCTCGCTCTTGGGACAGAGACCGATGGCTCGATTATTATGCCCGCTTCGTATGCAGCATTATACGCCATTAAACCCGCTGTAGGAATTGTGCCGATTGATGGAGTGGTACCCGTCGGACCGAGCATGGACTCTGTAGGAGTTATGGGGAAGAGTGCATGGGATATGGCCATCACCTTAGGAGTCATGGCAGGGGAGGAGGGTAAATATTTGGACGCGATATATGAAGGAGTGGAAGGTTTGAGGATAGGAATTCTCAGGGAGGCCGGGTTCTGGGACGGGAAGGGGCTAGACCGACAAGTATGTTTACCGCCAGTGTAATCTAGGCTTCATTCAAGCCTCTATATATGTCGGAATGCCATTTGGCTAACTTGGGACTAGATAATAAATGAATCACTCGACGCACTCCAAAAGTTGGAAACCCTTGGAGCCGTGGTTGTAGATCCAGTATATATGCCATCTGCCCCAGAGATTCTGTTAGGCCCCGGCGAGATGGCCGTGCTAGGTTCTTTCCTAAGCTCCCCTAGTCTCTCCCGCCACGAATTAACATCAATCAGCAACCGAGTTCAAAGAATCCCTTCCGTCGTATCTTTCACCCCTCGGGAACACCACTATCCGCACACTTTCAGACATAATAACATTCAATGTAAACCATGCTCCACTAGAAATGCCACCAAACCACTGCTGCCAAGAAATATTCCTCATTGCAAACCACACCACTGGCACCAAATCACCGGAATATCTCGCTGCGCTTACCTATCTGCGCAAGCTCAGTCGGGATGAAGGTATCCAATCGACGATGAGGGGTTTTAACGTTGATGTGCTAGTCATACCAGCGGATGCGTCCCGTTCAACCACAATATCAGCCGTGTCAGGGTGGCCGATAGCAACCGTACCAGTCGGGGTGCTAGCGAGTAGCGGGAGGCCTTTCGGGTTGGCTTTTTTCACCTCTGGGGCAGGTGGTGGGGGAGAAGAACGGTTGATGAGGCTCATGGGAGACTGGTGGAGGGTTGCCGGGGAAAGAAGTGTCCCAGGGAGGTTACGGAAAAATCTTCTATAGTAGAAACTTTAAGCGCATCTGTAGCGGCTATTCGATCGCGAGGGGCATTTACTCCAGTACGCTTGAGTAGGCTGCTTAGTTTGCGTCTAACGACCCAGCCCGTGACCCTAAGCTGTCACGCACCACCGAACTGTGGTATATCCCAAGACTAGACTTCTTGAGTCAAAAAATAGGTGCCAACCAGTTAGGTCATATATCGGAACTCCTGAACTTTGGACTTATGCTTTTTTAGGGAGAAGGGTGATGAGTAACTTTTCCTTGCCGGGCGCACAGCCCTCGCCGCCCACCCAACTAAGCCGGGGAGGGGGGCTGTTAGGGTCTCATACTTTTGATTATTAGAAGCTCTAATTCATAATCCCCAGCAAGAAGCTTGTGAATACTAAAATATGGAGCCCAGTTTCCAGTCTAAGATATTACCCCAAGCAAATTATCGAGTGACAGACTATGATTTGAGCCGGCGGTACCTACGGGTGGGCATAGAGACATCATTCTCCCCTCGCTGCTGCAGAATTTAGCTCTCACTGCCTTCCTCCCCGCTTCTTTAGTTTATTACCTACAATATGTCTCGATATGGGACGCCATGGGGTAGGGCCAGACCCCGAATCCCCGTGTAGACAAAATAAGGCATAAAATTCGTCTCTCCAAAAAATCTCCCTGGCTAGGGGAAGGCTCACTTTGATTAGTTGGCATTCTCGCGGGGTTTCCCTCCGTACTGTAAAATACCCCTTCTGAATCATAGAGAGATAGTAGAGATCCTTGCGGTGGACGCCCTGTTTTTTTGTAAGCACCTATCAACATGTACTGTACCAGCTACTTGCTGCTATTAGTGCGAAGGCAGATACGCGCTCACGAATCTTTCCTTGATATCCTTTATTCGCCTCTCCATGGGGCCCTTACCGTATCCGAACTGGTGGATGCTATAATGCCTCTGCCCCGGATTTTCATATTTTCTTTTCTATTCTCCCTTCCAGTAGTTAGTTTTCCTCCCTCCCTTCCCTAACTTTGGTATCCTCTTCCGTTTATCACAGTCCATTAGGAGTGGCTTATCCGCGAAATCTAAGGGCTAGTGAAAATGAATTACTATTTTAGCAGCTAGAATTACCCAATCGTGGCTGAGAAATGGCCAAAAAAACAACGTTTTTTCATGCCATACAAAGAACGCCAGGGCCCGATGTCACCTTTGCTGCTTGGTCAATAGATAAGCCCCCAAAATGAGATAGATGTGAGGTCAAAATTGGATTTTATTGATTGAAAAAAGGGGGTATAATGTTTGTGAACATGTCTGCTTTGAGTGCAAAAGAAATTACAATCCAATGTTTCATTAGGGCTAGTGTCCGGAGAAGCGCATTGAGAGCCAGCCCGTAAAAGCCCTTCCACATAGGGTTAACAAATATCCAGTGAACTGCTCACCGTCACCTGATACCGGCGCCCGAATCGGCTCTCCCGGGGAATTTCCACCAAGCTCTACTCGGGTATCATACCGCCATATCTCTGTGCAATTATATACTTAAACATTGCGGCTTCCCCCGGGGCTCCCGCCGAGTGACCCAAGATGAGTCGGCCCTCTACTAGCACCCAGCCATCCCAAGAGCTGACCCTCAAACCAAAAATACTACCCCCACACCCTCTGCAGCATAGTCCATCCAATTCACCGCCAACCTAACACACCCCAACGATCAACCCTAAACAAAACGAACCGGGACGTCCGAGCGGTGCAAACTTGCATTCACCCCCCCGCCACCTCGCCAAAAAACAGAAGGATACCGATAGAAATTCTACCAGTATGCCACCCTCAGCCAACCCCGAGGAGGGCCTATTGAGGGCCTTCGGTCGCTCTGGGTGGAGGAGAAGTGTACTTTACTGTACTTGAGGGCATTACGTAAAATAGGGCACAGCGAAAACTTTGGCGGGGCGCGCAAAATGATAAGGAAAGTGGTAAAAGCAACTAGTAGCGAATTGGCTCTTTCAACTACCGTACCTGGCAATTAACCGATTCAGGTGGTTATTCTCGACTCGAGCAGATGAGAGCTATTTTGTTGCTGGCTCTTTGAGGCATCCCTCGCCAGCTTTGCGAAGCGACGTATTCTTCGCTACACCCTCAGGCACATTGCCGCGGGGTTCATGCGAGCGTGGGGTTGGTGGTGTGCGGTGGTGGTGATTGGAGATGAAGTGGTAACGTATTCCACCGTGAAGTGACATAGCACTGGGAAGTGAGACAGCTTAAGCTACACTACTAAAGTAGCAACAACTTCACCAATTCTCAACCAAATTGAAGAAAGAAAAAAAGAATAAATGCAGGGAGGGTAATAGAAAGTAGTCAGTAACTAAAATTAATAAAAACCAAGGCCAATCCAAAGAGAGTCATCAAAAAGGGCAAAACAAAATTGGTTAAAGATAGTATAAGAAAAAATAAAAAATAAATACATTGAACTATATAAAATTGTATTTAAGAAACATTAGGTATTCTTTTACTATTAGAGGTTATTCAGGAATGTATACTTACTGTTTCAAGAAGGTAGTAAAGTAGGAAAAAAATCAATATAATAAAGTAAAGTTTAAAAGATTTCAGTTATCTGAGAAAGATGTTTAAAAGAGGATAAAAGTAAAACAGGACAAACAGTAAGTAACAAGGAGCCAACATAAGGTTAGTATATTTCTGAAATTAATACCAATTACTCTGGTCCTGTAGTATGATATCATAATTTATATCATATAAAAAAAATATGACAATTAACAATAACAGAAAACAGCTTGAACTATTTATACTTAAGTATTACAGACATATAGACCTTATAGCACCCTTGTTATGGTTAGTTATAATTTTTTTATCTACTGTCTTTCCTAAAACCCTTATTCATATTAGTAGTAAAATACCCTAAAACTCTATTCTCTCTTCCTACTTTCTCTGCCCTATTACCTACCCTCTTCAAATCACAAATATGCTACCTCTAACAATTCCTATTAATGGATAGATGCCTACTATCTTCTTATACATGATTTTATACAGTGTACTGCATTTATTTTATTTTTTTACATTACATTCAATACACTCTTTTTTTACTCTTGTCATGATTCTCTTAGTATTGCCTTTATTATTTTATTAATTTTAATTTCTGGCTACCTTCTATTACTCCCTTTATCTTTATCCCTTTTATTCTATTTAATTTGGTCAAGAATTGGTGGAGTTATTACTCCTTTAGTAGTATAGTGTATTTTGTGTCACTTCCGGGTGTTGTCATTTCACGGTGGGATACGTTAGGGGGTATGGGGAAGGGGATGGATGGATCATGGATGGATGGGTGGGATGGTCCACGGAGAGGAGAGAATAGGTGGTAGTCTACCCACTGTAATCTCCGAGGTGTCTATGCCGCTCCGGTATGTTCGCACGAGCACAGTACGGTATCCTACCGGTAAATCTACTCCACAAGCTGGAAACAAGAGACGGGAACGGAGGGACGGCTGCATGTCGATCCGGTGGCAATTCTGCACGGAAGGATCTCATAGACGATGGCGCTGACACGAGGAGATACAGACTCGTAACTGCGCTGAAGGTTCGCCGTCGAAACCCCGCCAGAGCCAAAGGTTTGGAAGCATCTCTCGGGAGTGTGCTCGTACTTGCAGGGTGTAAAATGCTTATAATTTAGCATAGATCCCTGTGTCTGAGACTCTGGCTTTGAATCTCTACCCCAGGTTATTTGATACCGGTAAGGTACTACGGTGACTACTGTACTGTACCCGTACTTTACCGTGCCGCCTTCTGTTACCCTGTTGTCACTCCCAAATGCACGAATTTGGAATTTGTAGGGCCATCCGGTGGTGTAAAAAATAGAAACTCTCTCGAGGCTCATAGAGCAGCCGCTGTTTTCTTCCGAACGCGCCTTTATCGCAGGTATACCTGTACATCTGGCAGTCGGCAGACAATAGCTTGGACACGGCGGGTAACAGAATCAGGCAGCCTTCAAAATGGTCTCGCTCCGAGGGTCATGTGGGACTCTTCAGCTTGCGATCCATCAAATTTCCGGGCCCGTTCATTAGACGGCCCCACCCTAAATTTACCACTCCCAAAGTGCAGAGTAGGAGCACAGCGGAGTGACGAAATTCATCACGTCTGATTGGGCGTAGCGTGTGGTATGGCCTCGTACTGTACCGCAAGAGCTCGAATAGGGTGGACAGGATTTGGAGGAGGTTGCGGCTTCCCCTCCTCGGAAGGCCAGGGTTTCTCTTGTTTTCTTTCCCATCGGTCCCAGAAAGCGGGTTATTTGGTGTGTTTTTGACCCAGTCTCCGGGAGAGGAAATTTTTGCGCCATCTAGCAGACAGATGATCTGCTTGTCCGGTTCACCGGGTGAAAAGGATCAAGATGCGTAACTTGCCTGTACCTGCTCAAGAGCCAATATGGTAGTTGATGGGAGAAGAACCCGAGTGAGCAGGAGTGATTGTGGGAAGCGTGCACACACTGGGTCCACGGCTCGCATGTTTGATAATTCGAGTTTGCCGGGTCGGGTTACATGGCGTTTTCGTGGGTGTTGCCACTAAGCTAGTTGTGCACAGAGATGTAGCGAGATGGGATCCTCCCAGAAGGTATAACATGGACTGGTATAATGGCTCTCCTCCAATGAGAGAGGCGCGATTTGAGAGAATTGTGACAGGGGATTTGGGGTCTGGATGGGCGGGTGCCTTCATGGTCCTGCACACAAAGATTGTGACAGAGCACAAGTATGGTGGGCGGGGGGGATCTTGAGGGTGAACAGTTTTGACGGTTCGTGCGCAAATGGTTCACCTGAGCATCGAATCTAAGATTGGGCACGTCCGGGTAGACTACGGTACCCGTACGGTGCTGTGGTCCACGCTCTCCTATCTTGGCCCCTCGATAATACACGTACATGTACGAGCTCTCGTGACATGGATGAAGTGAGGAGAAGAGGGGAAAAAAGAAAGCAAACATGCTTGGCGCCAAGGTCGGCGAAAGTGAGGCCCCCGTTCGCGTTCTGTAACGTATCCTATTCCGCTTCTTCCTTGGTTGCGGGACGGGAAAAGCATTTTGACTATCCATCCTTGCTTGGTTTGCCGAGCGGGTGGAGTAATGATCTGCATTCCCGGGATGAAAATCTCGGATCGAAAAAAGCCAGCGGTGTTGCAGTACAGGAGTGGACTAGTGTTCGCTTCTGTTGCACGGTACCGGCATCCGACCGGTACTTTTGACGCAATACGGTATTGTACTTGTACCATACCAGCGAGCTACCGTACGCCACTGGTGGAATCTTTGGTGCAACTCGGGCTGAAATCGCGAATCGGCTCTGGTGGGCCGGGCGGAGCCAACGATAGACGAGGAACTGGGAAATCCTTGCTGGGACGGTGGTGAGGACAGGGAAAGGGGGAGTTCTGACACAATTACGGTACTTGTACGAGTACTCGAGTACTGTACTGTGACGAGCTGTTTTAGCAATAGTGTTTCTGAGCAGTGGTTAGGGCTTTTGAGCATAAGGATAATGGTAGTAGGTTTGGTAGGATATAGGGCTTTTGAGAGGGGGCAAGGGACTGTGTTTCGGTTGATTTGTGGGGGGGGGGGGCACTGGGGGAATACGGTAGGACTGCCGGGGCCCTATTGGGAGAGGACAACCCACACAAGAGACAACAACAGTGCGGCTTAGTTTTCATCTGTCTTGTCTGAGGAAAAGGACGTTGTTCTTTTTTTTCCCTTAAGTACGGGATTTTCTTAGTTTTTCTTATCCTCCA